TGCGGCTGACCACGGGTGCGTCGCATGATCTGTGCCGCTGCAGAAAGGGTCTAGGGTCTAGACCTGATGTGTGTGTGTGTGAGTGGCCTCCAAATGCACTTCAAAGGCAATTAATTTGCAATAAAAGCATTTTTAATGTCCCTATTTCATACGTGTGTATGCGTGTGTGTGTGCTGATTGATGACGCAACAGACCACAAGCCACCCTACCGCAAGCCCACCCCCTTAAGCCGCTGTGTCTGCAATGCCTGCTTCGATGCTTCATTGATTATTGCGTATACGCCACATTGGCCAAAGAAAAAAACATTGGTTAGACCTCAGGAAATAGTTCGATTTCTCCAAGCTCATTTATTTATGCTCGTGTATGCTAATTTAGGCAGAGGGAAAATTAGAGTTTCCAATTTACTATTTATCTGGGTAAATAAATTATTTTCTTTAAGATTTTAGTTAGCATACTTTTCAGGGCCTTTGGCTTTGGTTTAATAAAGTTATTCTTAAGGAAAGAAGCTTAGGAATTTTAAAAAACTATATACTATATATATTATAATTAATATTTTTCTATTTATCCTATATTTCATATTTTATATATTTCTATAAATTCAATTATTTATTCATTTTATAACAAATATTTAATTCAAAAGCTTAAACGTTTTCTTAATCTGAACAAATTCAAAATCTATAAATTTCAAAGGCAAACCTTCACATTTTCAAGCGACTTTCCTAGAAAAAGCTTTCCTTGAGCATTTCCCACTGACACTTCCCACCTAATCGAAGGGATTCCCCTCTTGGCTAGCTAAATTTTTTTGCCAGCAACAGACTTTCGGGAGCCCCATCGAGTGGTTTAGTGGCTCTTTCGTAGCTTTTCTACTGCTGCTGCAGCTCGAAATTGCTGTCATTGCATTGTCAAAGCAACTTTGTTGTACGGGTGAACGTGTCCGGCTTTTCCGTTGGAGGAGGAGGAGGAGGAGGAGGACGACTAGAAGGGAACTACAGTCACGTAGTGGTGCTGGCATCCTGTATCGTATGCCGTGTCCTGCCCAGCTGTCACACATCCCGCGCACATTGTCACGCAATCAGCGTTCTCCAACTACAACAGCTACGCTTCTTCTTGCCCCGTTTTGGAAAGGGTCTAAAAATATCAACAAAATCGAAGCTCGTCACGCCGCCGTCATGTCTCTGCCCTGTCTGCCCCTTTATTTGATCGATTTTCCGGCCTAAACCCATAGTATTTTCATAGTATAGTAGTGGCCACGCCCGATTTGCTTTCTTCTCTTCTCTTTCTTTTTTTTTTTTTCGACAACAGTTGTCATAATAATGTTATGTGATTCGCCTGACCTTGAACGCCTCTCTCTAGTCGTCTTTTTATTGATTTATTTTTAAGTTAATTAAAAAAAAAAAAAAGAAACCAAAAATTGGCAGAGCGGGAAGCGTGACTGCAATTGAGCCTGGTAATTGTCATAATCAAGTGGCAAGTCCTTTGCCCCTCCCCCGAAACGAAGTCAAGTGTGGATGAGGAGCAGCACACAAAGTGGCCAAGTGGCCAAGTGGCTAAGTGGCTTTTACTTGAAGATCTTAAAAAAGGAAAGATTTTATTCGCATAATAAGAGGAAACAAATGGAAAGCGGGGGAAAGGCAAGTATTTATTAAAGTTATAACACAATCAAAATTAAATGAAAAAATAAATTAAAAATTAAATTAAAAATGAAAATTATATAGATATATTTCCTAACCACTTTAAGTAAAACATTCAACATTAAGCTAAATTCAATAGAAAAATCAGCAGCCTAATTTTAATGTTAAATGTTAGCTTCCTCCCTTCTTATATATATAAATCTATTTTTTCCATATTTGTTATTTGGCTCATTTATCGTTTCTCGTCTGTTTTTCCGTGGCAACACTGTTTTTCTGTTTTTCCCCCGCCCACCCCCTTTACCAAAATCAATTAAAAAAAGGAGGCCGTCGCAGTTTGTCCTCCTCTTCCTTCCTGCCTGGCGCCTCTCTATCTCTGTTTGTTTAGTGTAAACCGTCGGAACTGAGCAAACATTGCAAATTTTTGTTGCCACTTTTGTTGGTTTTTTTTTGTTTTTTTTTCTGCTGCACCCAAACTTGCTGCTCCTCCTCTTCCAGGTGATAATCCCCAACTGCCTCTGATGTCGTCGACCGGCGACGACTAATTTTCAGTCCGCACGGTCGAGTTTTAGTAATTTCCGGACGGTGGAGAGTATGCACACCCTTTCCAATGAGTCCGGCAATTATGCCACGCCCCTGGCATTCCGTAATCCGTATCCGTTATCCTAAAATTGGAACTCTGGCAACAGTGATGGCAGGGTTTTACGGATATAAGAGATATTTTCTTTTCAAAAAAGAGTGTTTTTCGGGGTCTAAAGTAGACTTTCCACAAGGAGATCTTTCTACTAATCCTATATCCTGTGTTTTTTCCTAGAGTTAATCCTGATTTTCAACGGAGTTTCTATATCAGGACACCCAATTGTAGCCTAAAGTTTGTGTTTATCCAGAGTCTCCTGTCTGTCATCATCATCCATCCCTCTGGCATTCTGGTTGGTCGCCTCTTGCATAAATCAAATATTTGTTAATAATCTGCAACAATAGGATGCACCCACTGAACTTTGACCCCTTGCCTGAATGGCCTTTTCATTGTCTGTCTCCCACCTCTGTTCTTGCCATGTTGCTGTTTGTTTGTAATGCAATCAACATGAAAATAATTAATACAATTAAATGCAAACAATCCGCGCCTGCCTGCAGTCCCCCGCCGCCGCCACCTGCCTGCTTGCGAGTGTGTTTTCAATTTTAATTAAGCCGATGCGAAGGAGGAGCCGCTGTGCCACACGCTGCATACTACTTTCATGCGCAATTTGCTTAAATCGAATTACCAGGAGAGAGCATAGCATTCCGCTGTAGTCCAACCAGGAGGACATGGAACAGACATTGTAAATGGGCAACCAGAGTGGCCGTGTCCATGAGCACCGGTAATGGGAATTCGATTTATTGGTAGCTTCGTCCGGGAAATTGAAAAGTCCAGTGCCCTCTCATGCCGCAGGGATGGACACTGGGAAAGGAGCCCTACAAATAATTCTAGCATGTCTAGATTTTGTTTTTTTATTCACTAAACTTGTAAAATATATTAGAAAAGCTAAGAAACCTCTGCATGTATAGATTTTGTTTTTTAACAAATGTAGATTTGGTTTTTTTACACTTTTTTTTATAACCATATATATTTCTAAGAATAAATATAATTCTCTAATTTCTCATTTATCTCCCAACAGAAGAAGCATCTAATTTAATTTCCCCATAAAAATCTCAAAGCATAAACCTATTATTTAGCTCCAATTTCTAGAATAATTGCCAATTTGCTAGAAAATATTTGCAAATTACTCTTTAATATGTTAACCCATTAACTGGTTGGCAAATGCTAATGAGTGGCAAAAGCTGAATTAAAACGTCTCTAGTTAAAAGTCGTTCCTGGCAGCAAGCATAACCAAACCGATTCCAAGTTGATTATTATTAAGAACCAAAGAAAACTGTGTCAGACACACGCTGCAATAAAAAAAAAGTGAAATATGAGAGCATGAAAATACAGTGAAGTAACCATTCCCTGGACAACATTCCGGATTTCCCCCCTGTCCCTGTCCCAGTGCAGTCCAGTCCATCTCTAGCACCATCTCCAAACGGCAGCTAATTAGAAGCAGCAGACGAGGCGGCGGCAACCAGTAAAGTGTGAAAAGAGGAGGAGGCGAGGCTGGAGATGGAGCTGAGACTAGAGCTGGGACTGGAGCTGTGACTGGGGCTGGAGTGGGTGCTCTTGATTGGGTCTGAACTGGCTTGGTTTGGACTGGACACGCGACGGCACTCGCTGAGGCCTGACTGGCCACCACGAGAGCGTTCAATCGTTCAATCATTTGCATACCTTCAAAGACTTTCTAGCCTGGCAATCGCATTCAAATATGCATTTGCTAATATTTTTCTTTTTTTTTTTTTTAGATTTAAAGATTTATAATTGGCCATTTGAATATCACTCACATATATGCAAAAGTGTTCATTCAACTTGAAGCTTAATTAATTCAGTTTAAATGCGAATTAAAGCTGCTTGTTTAATTTCACAGAGAAAATGTAATGAGATTTAACCAGATGGCATTTCTTTTTTTGATTTTAAAGTCAATTGAAGATCTTAGTTTTACCTTTGATTAAAAAAGGTTTGATTAAGCTTGCAATTCAAGTTTTTTGATAAGTTTTCGAATAAAACAGGACTCATCTAAATGGAATTTAGATAAAAGTCCCACCTAAAAATCTCTTTAAAAAATTATAGAAATATATCTGAGGGTTTTCTTTCCTTATATTTTAAGCTTAAAAAGGGTGTTTTTTTTTTTTAATATTTATTTTTTTAATACTTATTTTTTTAACATTTATTTTTCCAATATTTATTTTATTATTATTTATTTTTTTATTATTTATTTTTTTAATATTTTTCTTTTAATATTTTTTTTTTCAATATTTATTTCTTCAATATTTATTTCTTCAATATTTATTTCTTCAGTATTAATTTTTTAATATTTATTTTTTCAATATTTATTTTCTTAATATATTTTTTTTTAAATTTATTTTTTAATATTTATTTTTTTATATTTTAAATTTCATAAGCAGATTCTTTATTTAATATTTTTAATCTAAGGCAAATCCATATTAAAATTTATATATTTGCCTAAGATTTAAAATTTTAAATAAAGATTCTGCTTATGAAAGATCTTCATCAAATATAAAATATTAAAAAACAACCTATTTTTAATTTATAATATTAAATAAAGACCCTTAAAAATCCTACAAAATATAGAACCAACTAAATCTAATTCATTACTACTTTTTATCACTTTAAAATTTCCAAACTTCCTTAAAATGCCCAAAACAAAAAACCTATTGCTTCCTTTTAAACCCAAAAATAACATATCAAAAAATAAAAAATCTTAGAGAAATCTTTTTCCAACTCACCCTTGAGCAGATGCTGCAAGATGTTGTCCTTGTGCTCCTCCGAATGCGGCTCGCCCAGGACGATAAGCAGGTAACAGCCGGTTAAGGGGCTGGGTGGACCCACAATCCCGCCGGCCAGACTGGAGGCAGCGCCACCGCCTTCGGCATCCGAGCAGGCCGTATCCAAGGGCGCTCGTCCGCCAATCTCCGAGGGTGGCAGCGAGCTGGCCCCCGCATCGGTGGCGGCATCATCGAGCTCGGCCTGCTCACTAGCCTGTCCGCCGCCGGGCTGATCTTGATCCTCCTGCTGCGGCGGCGGCGGCGGTGGATTTCCAGACCCATTGGGTAGGATTTCCTGATTGGTAACGGCCATTATGGCCTCGCCAGATCCTGCTGCTGCTCCTCCGGCTGCACCTGCTCCCGCTCCAGTTGTGGTTGTCGTTGCCTTTGGCTGATCTCCCATCACAGTTGGTGTTGTCCTAGTCGCTGTTCTTGTTTGTAGTTTTTAGATCACACAGAAAAAAAAGATAACTAGTTGTTACACTTGAAAAAAACCAAACAAAAGAAATTGCACTTTTGCTGCTGCCTGTTTTTTTTTTGTTTGTAATTTTTTTTGCACACGCAGAATTTTCTGGGAAAATCTGCGCTGCTTCACTTCACTTTTTCAGCTGGTTGTGTGTGTGTGTGCGCCGAGTGTGTGTGTTTGCTGGCCGTGACTTTACTTTGGCGCAGTTTCTTAGCTTTTTTGCCTTTTGCTTCGACTTTTTGCTCGCTTAATTGGTTTTCGTGTTTCGTTTTAGCTTTTTTACGTTTTTGTTTTGTTATATTATTTTTAGTTAATAATAATTTGTTGTCTTTTCTTTGGTTTTTTGTTTTTTTAGGCTGTTATTGTGCACACTTTGAAGCTGTGTTTGGTATTTGTATTTGGTTTTTGATGGAAAATCTCTTTTTTGGTTTTTCAGGCTTGGAGAGTACGTTTTTTTTTTTTTTTTTTTATTTATTGGCGTGTTTTTTAAAGTATTATTTTGTTAAATATATATATATATAGTATATATATTATATATATATAGTGAAGATTTGGACTAGCTTTAGTTTTGTTTTTGGTTTGTCTTTCGCTTTGGTTTTTCTCTTTAATTGGTTTATCGATAATTTTGTTTTCTTTTTGAAAATTCGTTTTCTTTCGGTTTTCTCCTCAAGCGTTGTTCTTAGTTTATTAATTATTTTAGTTAAACTTTAGCTTTCTCCGCCGGGGCGACACTTGTCATCTAAATATCGTCGGATATCTGCAAGTAATCGGGAGAAAAGAGAACAGAAAATCCGTTAAGTTTGCTGATATAAATGCGAGATATCAAGGAATATATATAGATTTATAGTCAGAGCCCTATATTATGAATTGAGTTTCCCCCTTGTGGCCTGTCTTCCTTCATTTCCTAGTGGAACCAACGCCACCGCCAGACCAGACAGCCATTTCATCCGGGCAAGGTAGCCAGCCGGAGGAGCCGGCTATAAAAAGACGCCCAGAGCAGACAGGAGAGGGGGTAGGAGAATGACAAGGAGTTGGAGACTGAGGACTGAAGACAGGAGGTGCAGCATATAAAATGCATTGAACTTTGGCCGCCTCCCAGATGTACATAAACATATGTAGACCCAGACGATGTGGCCAAAAACAGCAGAGGATTCGCCTTAAAAGGTGGAATTAATTTTACATTTTCACAAACAAAATTTATAAATGAACTTCAGATGCTCTTTTCTAACTAATTAATTAATTAATTGTTTAAAAAATTAATAGTAAAGGAAACAAGCTTGGTTCAAGTCGTTGATGGCAACATTTTTTGACAAATTTTGCATAAAACTGAAACATTTGCTATGATTTATATTCAGGAGGACCCAAAAAGCTAGCATCCCAAAATTAGCTACCGAACCCGAAGACAACTCTGAGATCAAGGTAAAATAGTTGAACAATTATTATAACAAGAAAGGAAGCTAACTTCGGCACGCCGAAGTTTGTATACCCTTGCAGATTGGTTTTTAGATTTATATTATAAATTATAATGCCGAAAACAGACACAAAACAGAGTTTCATTACATTTTACCTATACTTATTATGTTTACAGTTTGACAATTACAGTTTTACATTCCCAGCTTTATATATTTTATAAATTTACCGATCGCTTCTATGGCAGCTATAAGATATAGTTGTCCGATTCTTATGAAATTTATACCAAAATTCTAGAATAATAAAAAAAGCTTATATCTCAGAGTAGATAAAAATACGTTGAAAAACAACGAAGCTATAATTTTATTCCTATTAATTTCCCGATCGTTCCTATGGCAGCTATATCATATAGTCGTCCGATTTTCATAAAATTTTTACCAAAATTCAGAAATAATATAAGATGGTCATATATAAAAAATAGTGCAAATATGTTGAAAAACAGCCAAGTTATAATTTTTTTTCTAAAAATTTATCAAACATTTGTATGGCAGCTATATGATATAAACGTCCGATCCGGCCCGTTCCGACATATATAGCAGTGAGAGTATATAGAAGACTATATGCAAAGTTTCATTCAGATAGCTTTAAAACTGAGGGACTAGTTTGCGTAGAAACAGACAGACAGACAGACGGACAGACGGACAGACGGACAGACGGACAGACAGACAGACGGACAGACGGACATGGCTAGATCGACTCGGCTGTTGATGCTGATCAAGAATATATATACTTTATGGGGTCGGAAACGTCTCCTTCACTGCGTTGCAAACTTCTGACTGAAATTATAATACCCTGCAAGGGTATAAAAATGGAAGTTCTTAATAGTAAAGTTATGAATGCTATTAAAAAAAAAACCTATAAAGCACTAGCCAAAAAAAAAATTATATTAATAATTTAAAAAAAAAAAAAATAAGGTTTTATAGCTATTTTTTTTTTTTTTACAAATTTCCCTAAAACCTTACACATTTTCTATAATTTATGATCAAAAGGACCCAAAAAACCCGGCATCCCAAAATTATAGGCCGAACCCCAAGCCAACTCAGAGATCAAGGCTTCCTTAGCCCACACACTCCCCCCCCCTCTTACTCTATCTCTCTTCACTCCCCGTTTCTCTCTCTCTCTCTCTTTCTCTGTGGAAAGAAAAACAGCAGTGCCAGGGACATGCACACGCCCCAAAAGCAAAGCACAGCAAAGATGTCGTCATCGCCGGCCGGTTGAGGGTGCTCGCTCCATGGCAACGTTGCCATTGGAAGCCACGACGACGTTGAAGGCGACGTCATCAGCCTAGGCCGGGCCATAGACTCACCCCCTGTAATGAATGACTGCAGGCGACTATAAAACAACAACAACAACACTAACAAAAAAAAAACTATTAAAAGCAACTCCTTTTTGGTCGCAATCCTTCAAGTTCTCCCCCGGATTCCGTCTCCGTTTCCATTTCCCGGCAACAACTGCAGTTTGGTCGCGTGGCCGTGGCCAAAAACGTTGCGCTCCAGTGCGCCGGAGTTGTGGCACGAAGCCCTGTCCGTGATGATGATGATGATTCACCAAGTGTTCCCTTTTTTTTTTTTTTTTTTTAACACAGAGATTGAAGAGACAGTGAGGTAGAGTTGCAGGGAGTTGCCGGCATTTCACACATGGAATATATGGGAATATATCCTCCTCCTCCTCCTCGTCTTGGTCCCTGCCGGTTGAGTGTAGTGCGGAAATGATGGATGAGGCGGCGGCGTCGGCTATTTCGGTACAAGAGCCGGAGGCCTACACAGTCATAGTTCCTTTGATCTGCTGAAGGAGATGGATCTTCTCCGAGGAAGGCAGTGCTTCTACAGCTTGGACTGCAGTGTGTTGCAACGGAAGTGGAAGTGGTGAAATCAATAGGTCACGCACCCAGGGGGGAGATTGGGATTGGGACAGGGAAAGGAACAGGGACAGGGGACTTGGGTTTGAACCAAGACTGAGACAGGGAGCACGTGTATTTTTTGGGGTTGTCTCTGGGCCACCGCTACCGCCGCTGTGGTTATATGATATCACCGCAAAGAAGCCACAGAAAAAAAAAATACGTGGAGGCACTGGCGCAAAAGAAAAGGTTCCACATAAACGCGGCACATTGGGCACTACACCGAAAAAAAATAGTATAAAAGGAATAAGCTGCGGAAAGGAAAAGATTTCCTTGCCGCTGCCGCCCCTCCGCCTGCCAATTTACTTTTGGCTCTCTCTTTCTTTAGCTCCAGCCCCTCGATGTCGTCTTTCTCTGTCTCCCTCCGACTTGGACTTGGGCCTCGACTTGGACTTGGAGTCGGACTTGGAGTTGGAGTTTGCTGTTTGGAGTTTGCAGTTTGGAGTTTGCAGTTCGGAGTTGCTTCTTCTCTTAGTGGCTGCTGTTGTGTGTGATTGTGTGTGTGCCTGTGCCTCTGGCTGTGGCTGTGGATCTGGATCCCTGGCGGTGTGCTCTGCTCGGCTGCTCTGCGCTCGCTGCAAACGGTGTGAAAGCTCGACGACGACTGATTCTCTGCTCGAGCTAGCGCGCACCACGAAGCAAGCGGAGCGCCAGCGAGCCGGAGGCAGAGGCAGAGGCAGTGCAGCACGGGCAGCAGCGACGCCAGTCGGCTGTCGGCAACTCCTACAGTTTTTCTTTTTTGTTTTTCTTGTTTTTTCTTTTTTGCCGCTGCGGTTGGAACTTCCAGCTGGGCGCAGGCTCGCTCTCTCTCCCTCTCCCTTTCTCTAAAACTCTCTCTCTCTTTCTATCTACTCAGCTGTAGTCCTTTATGTCCTGTGTGAGTTTTCACATACCCTGTATGACCAGAGGTGTTTCTGTTTTGGGGGAAACATATTTTTAGATTTCTCAAAAAAAAAAAAAAAAAAATTAAAATCTATAATATTCCTTAAGATAGATATAAACCTCTCTATCTAACTATATCCTGCATATCTTTTGTAATCCTTCAAAGGATGCATGCTATTTTAAGGAAGACTAGCTATTTCTTAGCATTTTTACTGAGCACTGAAAACCTATTTGGGAATTCTAAGCTGAACAAAATTCTTTTTTTTACTTTAAAAGTTGTAAAACTAAATTTCCCTAGATTAAGTTAGATTTTCTCTATGATTAAAAATAAGAAAGACTCTGGCTTCTACATCATAATTTTAATTCACCTTTAAAAAGCTAGTTGGGAATTCTAAGCTCAAAATATTTCACTTCTTCTTACTTATACTCATTACTAAACCAATAGTTGAGAATTCTAAGCTCAACTTTGTAAATTCGTCACTTTAAAATAAATTTCTCTAGCTCAAAATAGTTTTCCCCTAAAATTCCATAGTATTTCCCCTATAAAGCCAGGGTAATCGACACTTCATCCCCATTTTTTTGTATTTTGGGAATTCCTTTCGCTGCAGGCAGGGCAAAGGCTTCGTGGCGCCCGATTAGCAATTCGCCGGACTCGGTTACGGTTTCGGGTCCGGATTCGCTGATTCGCCGCTTCCAGTTAACCGACTTGACTTCGGCCTCGGCCTCGGATTTGTTTCGTTTCATTTCGTACCGGCACCGGCACTGACACCGGCATCGGCATCGTTGTTATGACCCCCAACCTGCTCCTAGTCTTCTTTGGTTATCCGCTCTTCGTACTTTGTCCAGTCATTGTCGATTTTTCGCCTATCCTGCGGCAACTCTCACTTCGCTCAAGTCGAAAGAATCCTAACCGAGAGGAGGAGGAGGCGGCGGCTTACACTGGGACTTTGGCCTGGCCTGGCTTCCACGTGGTCAGCTGTTGGCGCCGGCTGCTAGCGGCTAATCAACTGCACAAGACACTCGGAGAACAGCGACTGAAAGCGGGTTCGGAGCTCGGGTTCCAGAGAACCAGACTGTGTGGTGGCTCGGTCGGTGGAATGCCGGCAATGCCTGGAAGTCGGCTTAACGCTAATGAAATTACGCAATTTCCAGTTTCCCGAGGATCAGCCATGAATAGTGGGGGGGGGGTCTACAGTAAACTCTTGACAAGAAGCTATAACCCTAAATGAATTATTTTTAAAAGGAAATTTGTGAATATTTATATAAGTGACAGGAAATAACTTTAAAAAGGAATAACAAAAAGTTATAATAACCAAAAAAAACAAAACTAAAAATCAATTTTGATTATAACTCAACATTATTTATCAGACCTCAACGAGTCTCATCCTGTAGCGATCCCTTGGGTTTGCTGCATTGGAATGGAATGGTACTGGAAAGTAACTTCCCCCCTCCAAAAACAACCATCTGATTTTGCAAACACACACACACACACACCGTACTGCGAACAGCTGCCAGCGGCATAGTGAGATATCGATTTTGCCTTTGCCAACGACTTCGGCAGCTTGCCGGCTGCACTTCGGCTGTGGAACGACGAACCAACGAACAGCTAGCGAGCAACGAACAGCTGACTTGTGTGCGAGTATGCGCTTGTCTGTGCATGTAGACGCTTGTGCTTGTGTAACGCTCAGCTGAGCGCGAAAGCAGCCGACCGTTGGATTTGAAACAGAAACAGAAACAGAAACAGCTTGGGCAATGGGATGATTGAGTACAGGAATGCAGAGAGATGCAACATGCAGCGGCTGCTGCTAATGATCATAATGCTAATTCCTAAATGATATTCAACAAACACTCACCTCTGGCTTAATTTGGTGTTTGCACTGGTTATTAATATTGGGAGTGGCTCCTGGCTCTGGGCTCTGACTTTTGGCTTTTTATTTGGATGGAGCAAGTAGTTCTTAGTAGTTCTCTTGATTAAAACTTTATCAATTTAGTTTTTAAAGCTTAGCACAAAAATGGACACTTGATTAATTTCGAATTAGCACAAAGCGGACGCGATATTGGCAAAAAGCTTTAATTAATTTATGAACTTAGAAACTCGGTTAAATCGATTAAATGTATTTATTTTGTTTGTTTTTTGTTTTTTGTGGTTTTTATTGTATGGTTTTTTTATTTTTAATGGCAAATTCAGCTTTTATGTTTTGTTGTTATTTGTTATTCCCGGTTGTTGCTGGCAACTTCTTCAGGCTTCAGAGTTTTAATGTCTCCGAAACTGAATAAACTTTAGACGGATATTGATTTTTAACTGCTGTCACTGTGCCTCTCTGTCTCTGTTTCTGTCTCTTGCTCTTGCTTTTGCTCTGTTTCTTTCTCGGCTTGTGTCTCTGCTCTCTCCTCTACGGCCTGCTCCTTCTCCTGCTCCTGCTTTATTGTGGCTCTCAAGGAGTACGAGGCTCGCGGGCCTAATTGATTGATTGCCGCTGGTCCGAGCGCTGGCATTTAGCATTTAGTAGCGCCACTCCACTTGCTCTTGCCAGCTTGCTTTTCCGTTGCTCTCCTGTATCCCTTCCCCTGCCTTGGCTTTCCTCGGTTTCTGGGATTTTTTTTGCGTGTGTGTGTGGATTCTGCTGCTGCCTGCCTGGCTTCTGGTTTCGTTTCGAGTTTGCTTCCGACGCTGTCGCTAACTGTGGGCCCTCTGGTGCGGCGGCCGTCGTTCCCATTAGCGCTGCCACTCCATTCCATTCCGTTCCATTCCCATTGCAAACACACTAACACACTGCGGCTCTGCTTCGGCTTCAGCTTCGGCTTTGGCTTTGACTTCGGCTTTTGCCTTGCTCTTTTTTTTTTTGGCACACTGGAACGACCGTTGCGTTGGCGTTCGTGTGTGTGTGCATGAGAAAAACATGTGACTGAGCCGCCGCCGGGCTTCCAACGACGCAGGCGCAGGACCCGACAGCTGCTAATGGCAAAGCCGAGCCGCAGCCGAACAGCTGATTGCCTACACCAGCCAGCCAGAGAGACGACAGAGAAGGAAAGAAACCCATCCCCCCCTCCCCCTCCCAACAAAGGGAAAAATCAGACGCCGCCGGTCGGAAAAGCATAAAGCGTCTGATGCCGTCGGGAAATGCAAATGCGGCTAGGCCATATAGATTGGCTATTGGGATAAGTTTGGCGGAAATGAATACATATATAAATTACTTTATACTTGGAAGGAAAGTTTCTTTTTGGCTTTTACATAAATCCTCAGATGTATAGCCGAATGGCAGAGTAACCTATTACCCATTCAAATTCAATAAAACAGAAAGTAGGACGTGAGGCCAGGCAGAACTTTGCTTTCCCAGGAACAAAAAGGTATAATGTATTTCATGTAGCAGAGTTTAGATTGTATGAAAAGTGCCTGCAATTATCATTATATTGTGATAATAAGCATGTTCTGGCTAAAAGTTCAACAAAAACTAGTTTGATAAGACTTTTAGAAAGCAAAAAAAGTTGAGTAATCTAGTTTAAAATATAATAATCACATAATATCGTCCTCTAGGAGCTGGAGAAAGTACATTTTAGAGTCTTTACAAGCTGTCCTTTAAAAAAGGGTTTACTAGGCGTATACTTAATGTATAAATATTCCCGAAAAAAAATTCTTGAAATTATTTTTAGACCTATTTAAAGCCATATCTTCCTCTAGCAGCTGGAGAAAGCACATTTTAGAGTCTTTACACTCTATTTAAAGCTGTTCTTAAAAAGAGTTTACTAGGCGTATACTTAATGTATAAATATTCCCCAAAAAATTCTTTAAATATTCTTTAAAGCCATATCTTTCTCTAGGAGCTTGAGAAAGCCTCTACAGTCTCTTTAAAGCTGTACTTAAAAATGGGTTTACTAGGCGTATACTTAATTTTTAAATATTCCCACAAAAAAGACCTTATTTGAAGCTATAAAATGTAACTAAAATAGAACCCCTTTCGAAATATTGATTGCCTGCCATGGCATTTCGTTACACATGTTCCTATATGTACACGATATATGTACGATATATATATATATATATATATCCACGTTTGTGCAACTCAATCCGCGCTTAACGAGGCAATTCTGTTTTGGTTGCGGTCGCTTTGGAGCCAAGTTTTGTGACGACGACGACGAAGGGGGAAAAAGAGCGCCCGAAAAAAAAAAGGAAAACTTTTCTGCCAGCGAAATTCTTTGGATTTCGACTCGTCTGTTGCTGTTGCTCCGAGACGGTGTTGGGAGACGAATACGAAACCCGGCAGACACGTAACAAACACAGCGACAGAGGAGTACCCGGAGGAGGCCAACTCCTGGGAGGCAAACAAAAAAAAAAAGAGGGGGAAAAGACCACGCCCAGTTTAATCCAATCAAAGGCCTAAATTTCCACTGCCATGCAGCGAGCGAAAAATGAAAATAAAATAAAATGAAGCGGTGTAAAAGCAACAAAGTAAAACAGCAAAAAGGGGAAAAGAGAGACAGAAAAACAGCAACAGAAGCGAAAAAACAGAAAAACAAGAGCAGGCCAAAATTCGAAATTTGAATTTGAATTCCGCGCTGGATTTCATTTAATTATAAGTTAACACGAACACACAGCCGGCGTTGCATACTCGACGGCGCCGGGTTCCACGGACCATGGAAAATGCCTTTACAGTAAATGCACTGAACACAAATTGTGGTGTGTACTTCAATATATAAGAAAATATTTCCGGTGGAAAGTAATAACAACGAATACGTTAATTTAAGATAATAAAAATAACAAGCCAAGTTCGGCAAGCCGAAATTTATATACCCTTGCAGTTTGCAATTTTATTTTTAAATTATTCAAAAAAATTAATCCATTAAAATATTATTATATGTTATGCATCATATAGATATAGCTGCCATAAAAACTGAATTATTTTTATAACAATCAAAAATATAACATATAAAATATAACCCTCCATTTAAAGGCTTCCCAAGGATGGTAACCTAATTGCTAAAACCCACAAAAATATGCAAGATATATTGTAAATAATGTTTTAATTAAATCAATAAACTTAATCAAGAAGCAATCTGTTTCCTCAGTTAGCTTTCTTTTATGTTTTAAGCCAAGTTTTCTAAACCCAGTCGCTGCTAAGGCAGCTTTATGTATATAGAATAATGGTTTTTGGCTTGGACTTACCCGCAGTAAAGGACACTCTGTTGCCTTTCATCTTTACTCCGCAGGCTTGGCTGAGATTCATCTATGATTAATTCCTTCGATTGCAGAGATCTTTGTTGTTTTTGCATCAATATTATACGAACTAGCACTTTTCCAGCAAAGCGACGCTTTTCGGGAGTCATCCAGGTGGCTTGAAATGGACACGTCACAGGTAAACACGGGGGGAGGCCGCGCACTGACTGAGGCGGCGGCGGCAGAGGGGCCTCTATTTATAGGTAGATAGAGAGAGAGGTTGATCGAGAGAGAGAGAGAGAGAGAGAGAGAGAGAGAGGTAGATTGAGTGAGGGAGAGGTAGGCTTAGAGTTAGTGGGAGAGAGAGGGGCAGAGATAGTGGCAAAGTTAGAGAGAGATGACTAGCCATTTAGATATGACTCTCTCTCACTCTCCCCCTAGCTCTAGCTCTAAGTCTACCTCTCTCTCACGCAATTTACCTCTTTCTCTCTCTCTCGATCAACCTCTCTCACTCTGTCTGCCTCGATCAACCTCTCTCTCTCTATCTCTCTCAATAAACCTCTCTCTTTCTAGCTACCTATAAATAGAGGCC